CGTATGCATGTGTCGTGGGCACGTAACCGCTATCCACTACGTAAAATACGTGGCTTAGAAAGTAACTTCCTCTAACCGTTCTTCCCACGTGTTTTATTTCCTTGATCCGCACTTTAATGACTACCTCGGTGCAACCATAAGAAATCTTCGATAACCTCTCAATTTCTCCAAGAACGTCATTATTCTACTTATTACTCGAAACCAATTCTTTTCGATCTCGAGCATGTATGCGTAAAGTTTCTTCCCTGTTAATGGTAGGTGTTATTTTTATATTCTTTTCAAGTAGTTTCATGTATGTAAATTTCGACTCACGTGGTCTTCAAGTAGGCCTAACAATGTGACTATACAAGTCACTAAGATTTATTATGTTCAATAAATTTTAAACAACTTTTGTGCCTAACACTCTTTATTGCCTGAAACTTGTTGAAAATTACAAATCTCGATGATTCCCGCATCTCACTAAGATTTGTTATTTTCAATAAAATTCAAACAATATCAAATATTTTGTCTATCGCTATTTATAGCTGAAATTTGTTGAAAATTACAAATCTCGGTGATCTCCCGCATCTTGCTAAGATTTATTATTTTTAATAAATTTCAAACAAATTTTGTGCCTAAGACTATTACCTGAAATTTATTAAAAGTCACAAATGTTGGTGACTCCCGCATCTCACTAAGATTTATTATTTTCAATAAAATTTAAACAATATCAAATATTTTGTCTATCGTTATTTATAGTTGAAATTCATTGAAAATTACAAATCTCGATGATCTCCCGCATCTCACTAAGATTTATTATTTTTAATAAATTTCAAACAAATTTTGTGTCGAAGACTGTTACCTGAAATTTATTGAAAATCACAAATCCTGGAGATTCCCGCATCTCACTGAGATTTATTATTTTCAACAAAATTCAAGCAAATATCAAATATTTTTTCTATTTCTATTAAAAGCTAAAATTCATTGAAAATTCCAAATCTCGGTGATCTCCCGCATCTCACTAAGATTTGTTATTTCCAATAAATTTCAAGCAATATCCAATATTTTTTCTCTAACACAGTTAACAGATGAAACTTATTGAAAATAAAAAATCTCTGTGACTATCACAAGTCACTAAGATTTATTATGTTCAATAAATTTCAAATAATTTTTGTGCCTAGCAATCTTTATTGCCTGAAATTTGTTGAAAATTACAAATCTCGGTGATTCGCGCGTCTCACAGTGATTTGTTATTTTCAATAAAATTCTAACAATATCAAATATTTTGTCTATCGCTATTTATAGGTGAAATTCGTTTAAAATTACAAATCTCGGTGATTTCCCGCATCTCACTAAGATTTATTATTTTCAATAAATTTGAAACAAGTTTTGTGCCTAAGACTATTACCTGAAATTTATTGAAAATAACAAATCTTGGTGACTACTGCATCTCACTGAGATTTATTATTTTAAATAAAATTCAAGTTATATCAAATATTTTGTCTTTCAATAATAATAGCTGAAATTCATTGAAAATTACAAATCTCGGTGATCTTCCGCATCTCACTAAGATTTATTATTTCCAATAAATTTCAAGCAATATCCAATATTTTTTTCTCTAACACAATTAACATATGAAATTTATTGAAAATAAAAAATCTCTGTGACTATCACAAGTCATTAAGATTTATTATGTTCAATATATTTCAAACAATTTTCGTGCCTAACACTCTTTATTGCCTGAAATTTGTTGAAAATTACAAATCTCAGTGATTCCATCATCTCACTGAGATTTGTTATTTTCAATAAAATTCAAACAATATCAAATACTTTGCCTATCGTTATTTATGGCTGAAATTCATTGAAAATTATAAATCTCGGTGATCTTCCGCATCTCACTAAGATTTATTATTTTTAATAAATTTTAAGTAATCTCTAATACTTTTTGTCTAAAAATATTATTGGCTCAAATTTTCTTAAAATTACAAATCTCGGTGTCTCCTTCAACTCACTAAGATTTATTATTTTCAGTAAAATTCAAGCAATATCAAATATTTTGTCTAACACTTTATTCATTGCTGACTAAAATTCATTGAAAATTACAAATTTTAGTGACTTTAGCATCTCACTAAGATTTATTATTTTAAATAAAATTCAGTCAATATCAAATATTTTGTCTATTGCTATTAATAGCTGAAATTCATTGAAATTTACAAATCTCAGTGATCTCCCGCATCTCACTAAGATTTATTATTTCCAATAAATTTGAAGTAATATCAAATATTTGTTCTCTAACTTTATTAATAGATGAAATTTATTGAAAATAAAAAAATTTTAATGACTCCCACAACTTACTAAGATTTATTATGTTCAATAAATTTCAAATAAATTTTGTCCCTAACACTATTACCTGAAATTTGTTGAAAATCACAAATCTAAATGACTCTCGCATCTCACTGAAATTTATTACCTTCAACAAATTTCAAACAAATTTTGTGCCTAACACTATTATCTGAAATTAGTTGAATATCTCAAATCTCGGTGATCTCCAGCATCTTACTAAAATTTATTATTTTCAATAAATTACAAACAAATTTTGTGCCTAAGACTGTTACCTGAAATTTATTGAAAATCACAAATCTTGGTGACTCTCGCATCTCACTGAGATTTATTATTTTCAATAAAATTCAAGCAATATCAAATATTTTGTTTTTCCTATTAATAGCTAGAATTCATTGAAAATTACAAATCTCGGTGATCTCCCGCATATCACTAAGATTTATTATTTCCAATAAATTTGAAGCAATATCCAATATTTTTTCTCTAACACAATTAACATATTAAATTTATTGAAAATAAAAAATCTATGTGACTATCACAAGTCACTAAGATTTATTATGTTCAATATATTTCAAACAATTTTTGTGCCTAACACTCTTTATTGCCTGCAATTTGTTGAAAATTACAATTCTCGGTGTTTCCATCATCTCACTGAGATTTGTTATTTTCAATAAAATTCAAACAATATTTATCAAATACTTTGTCTATCGCTATTTATGACTTAAATTCATTGAAAATTACAAATCTCGATGATCTCCCGCATCTCACTAAGATTTATTATTTTCAATAAATTTTAAGCAATCTCTAATACTTTTTGTCCAATACTATTATTGGCTCAAATTTTCTAAAAATTACAAATCTTGGTGACTCCTTCAACTCACTAAGATTTATTATTTTCAATAAAATTCAAGCAATATCAAATATTTTGTCTAACACTTTATTCATTGTTGACTAAAATTCATTGAAAATTACAAATCTCAATGACTTCAACATGTCACTAACATTTATTATTTTAAATAAAATTCAAGCAATATCAAATATTTTGTCTATCGCTATTAATAGCTGAAATTCATTAAAATTTTCAAATCTCAATGATCTCACGCATCTCACTAAGATTTATTATCTGCAATAAATTTGAAGCAATATCAAATATTTGTTCTCTAACTTTATTAATAGATGAAGTTTATTGAAAATAAAAAATTTCAATTACTCCCACAACTTACTAAAATTTATTATGTTGAATAAATTTCAAACAAATTTTGTGTCTAACACTATTACCTGAAATTTGTTGAAAATCACAAATCTAGGTGACTCTCGCATCTCACTGAGATTTATTATGTTCAATAAATTTCAGAAAAATTTTGTGCCTAACACTATTACCTGATATTTGTTGAAAATCATAAATCTCGGTGATCTCCCACATCTCACTAAGATTTATTATTTTCAATAAATTTGAAACAAATTTTGTGCCCAAGAATGTTGCCTAAAATTTATTAAAAATCACAAATCTTGGTCACTCCCGCAAGAGATTTACTATTTTCAATAAAATTCAACCAATATCAAATATTTTGTTTAACACTGTTCTTACCGGAAATCTGTCGTAGAGGTGATTTGCCAGGTAAGATCGGTGAGCCTCCTTCACGGGTACGCTAGTGTTCCAAGATGGGGGTGGTACCTGCAAAAGAGACTTCGATGCTAAAGTTAGGGTTTGTATGAGTAATAGTCTCGTATATGTAATGCACGTACCTTGGAGTGAATTAGGTTTGCTTTGGGCTCTGGGCTTGAGATCTGTTATGATCTGATTAGATAGTAGATTTCGTCTGGAGCGAGATCCCCGAGCTCAATTATGATCTGATTAGATTGCGGATCTCATCTTGAGCGAGATCTCCGAGATCAGTTATGATCTGATTAGATTGCAGATCTCATCTAGAGCGAGATCTCCGAGATCAGTTATGATCTGATTAGATTACGGATCTCGCTTAGGCCGTGCCCGAGGTTATTCCACGCTGTGATATCGAGCTCGAGCTCGGCATGGCAGTACGGATAGTACAAACACCTTATTCATTGCTGACTAAAATTCATTGAAAATTACAAATCTTAGAGACTTCAACATCTCACTAAGATTTATTATTTTAAATAAAATTCAAACAATATCAAATATTTTGTCTATCGCTATTAATAGCTGAAATTCATTCAAAATTTACAAATCACATTGATCTCCCGCATCTCTCGAAGATTTATTATTTCTATTAAATTTGAACCAATATCAAATATTTGTTCTCTAACTTTATTAATAGATGAAGTTTATTGAAAATAAAAAATTTCAATGACTCCCACAACTCACTAAGATTTATTATGTTCAATAAATTTCAAAAAAAATTTGTGCCTAACACTATTCCCTGAAATTTGTTGAAAATCACAAATCTAGGTGACTCCTGCATCTCACTCAGATTTATTATGTTCAATAAATTTCAAACAAATTTTGTGCCTAACACTATTACCTAAAATTTATTGAAACTCACAAATCTCGGTGATCTCCCGCATCTCACAAAGATTTATTATTTTCAATAAATTTCAAACAAATTTTGTGCCCAAGACTGTTGCCTAAAATTTATTGAAAATCACAAATCTTGGTCATGTAGACACCCAATTTCGTCCGGGGGGCACACAAACAATTTTCTACCTACAATGGCTGCTACACCAAAACCCTTGAAATCTTGCACCCCCATTTCAGTTTCCAAGGTGAGGGTCATCGTCAGGGTCAGGCCCTTCCTCGCACACGAAACCTCATCAAGAAACGGCGACCCCATTTCGTGCAGCTCCGTCCTCGACCAAGATTTCGAGTCTCCGCAGGACGAGGTTGCCGTTTATCTCAAAGACCCACTAACCAGGTCTCATAAAGTTCCCACCTTTGGGCTTTTCTCTTGATGAATTTTGGTTTTCACCATGTGGGGTTCTCACTGTTTCTGTTTTTTTCCGTTTTGCCTTAGCCGGAATGAATGCTACCAGTTGGACTCGTTCTTTGGGCAAGAAGATAACAACGTGGGTCAGATATTCTGCAGAGAAGTTAGTCCCTTTGTTCCGGGGATCTTCAGTGGATGCAATGCCACTGTGTTTGCTTATGGGGCTACTGGAAGTGGGAAGACATATACTATGCAGGTGTGAGTGTGATCTTTCAGGAAACTTGTTCTTCAATTTGTTGTAGTCAGGGTTTTAAATTGTGGTTGGCTGGGGGTTGGGGCTATTGCAAGCCAATTCCTGCATATGTGATTTGCAATGTCCATGTCCTAACCTGGTTGCAGTAATTTTCTTTTTTTCATACATCTTTTTTTGTGTACAATGGTCGCACCAGGTTCGAACCTAACACCTCATGCATACTATCTCAATCTCATTACAAAGTCAACTCCGTTGGTTCACATCTTTTTACCTTGATACGTGAATTAGTTTGTTTTTTTCAGTAAATTCTGAATTTTGAGTTACGACGATGAGGATTTAGGATTAGTATCATGTGGTTTTGCAATGTCATAGATCCTGGTTATATTTTTCCGAACATTATTCCAGATATATGAATTGGTTTTAAATTTGAGCAAAATCTAAATTTTTAGTTAAGAGAACGAGGATTTTGGATTAGGGTCATGAGGTTTAATGATAACATAGGTCCGTTCTGGTTATCTGAACATTAATCTAGCAAGTTAGGATTATGGGATTGGTTTTAAATTTTGGTTGCGTGTGTTGTTTTGGAGATCTTAAAAACTACAAGGTTGCAGCTGAAATTGTGGTTGGGAGCGAAGTTTAAAACCATGATCGTTTATGGGTTTTCTACAAGGATTTAAAAAAGTGTATCCTCTCTTAGATTCTTTAAATTGGTGTTACCTATTTGTGAATTTGAATGCATAGCCTGTTTGGTTTTGTGCCACGTAAGACAACATGCATGTCTGATTTGCACGTCCTACGTATAAGCTATATAGTTCATTAGGTTCTGATTTTCATGTTTTTGATCCACGTTTGGAGCTTTTGACATAGAAACAAACACACATTCATAGTAAACGGGATGAGGAATAGCACCATTTTTTTACGTTTAATAGCATGGGTCATGGTTATATTTTTTTGAATACTAATTGAGCAGGAGGATTTAGAAAACTTATCCACTCTTGGATACACTTTGTTGTGTTGAGTACTTGAAATGAACAGATGCTTGGTGTTGCAGGGAACCGATGAACAACCTGGCTTGATGCCACTGGCAATGTCCATGATCCTTTCTACTTGCCAAAGCACTGGCAGGACAGCACATATTTCATACTATAAAGTCTACATGGACCGATTCATAAAGTTCCCACCTTTGGGCTTTTCTCTTGATGAATTTTGGTTTTCACCATGTGGGGTTCTCACTGTTTCTGTTTTTTTCCGTTTTGCCTTAGCCGGAATGAATGCTACCAGTTGGACAAAGAATTATAAACAAATAGATATTAATAAAAAAATATTATAAAAATTTAACTCCCTTCTATATACCCTAACTCTAAA